CTATACCTATAATTTATCTTCTCTTGTGGAATTTACCAACATTATTCCAATGATGTACCACATATTCTGTATCGCGTCGAGACCAGGATTATTATTCGATGACCATTCGATTATATCAATGTTACGATATTGTTCGCCGTTGTGTCCTTATAATACAATAAAGAACAATCACACATTAAAAGAAGATGGCTTATTAAATAATAAACAGATGCGTTTTATTTTTGTGCACCAAACAACAATTCTATATGACATACTGTGCAACTCTTCGAAACATTGTATCAAGAGCTTCATTAATTTAATTTATTATTATTTTTGATTATTTTATTTTGCCTTTTATTTTATTTGATTAATTGTCATTAGTTGGTTCTATCTGTGTGGATTGTAATCATTGACTGCGTAAATTGTTAACCATATCAAAATCATCTCTCTCGGGTAATTCCTACGGAGCTTTGAAATAAGACTTGGCAAATAAGTAATCCATTAATTAACAAATCCCATCTCGGAATGTTGTTGATGACCACACCTTCAACCATGATACGTATAAATCTCGAAATAAAAATATATTTACAAAAGAATCGGAGTACATGTTTTGTTAATCACGCAAAACATACATAGTAACAATCAATTGAATTTATATCATATGCAAGCTTAGATTAAGGCTCCAAATGAACCGGAACTTTAAATTGTTATTATTGTTATATTTTGAAAATTTTAAAAGTTTAAAATAAAATGTGCTTATAATGAAACCTCGTTTCAACGAATCTAATGGACACACAAGAAAATTGCATTTACATTTAGAATGATCGCGTTTAACAAATTTTATGTGAAGCAAAATTCGTTGTAACAAAGAATTTCATTGGATCAATTTGTTTACAAGTGATAAATAGATTTGAACCAGAAGAATCAAAAATTAGGTAATACTATTTGTATTCGTATTCGACTTGAATTTTGTTGATTATTCGGGACCTTATATTGGGCTTTATGCAAATTCGATGTTTCAAAATTTTCTACAGCTTGAATAATAAAAAACCAAAACTTCAATTAAAATTTTCACAAATGAAGGTCTAGATTTCGCTGATTCACGTCATATAATTTTTTAAAAAAGGCTTAAATCATGCTTTTCATTAATTACTCGAAAATATACATAATAAACACACACCATTTTGCATCTTAGGTTTTGACGGATGAGATAAGAGAAATTCAATTGAATTTTATAGGTCGCATGACATTCTCCTTTTTATGTGAAATGAAAGAGAAAATACACCATTAAAGCTTTCTAATAAATACCTTTTCATATCGAAGGATGCTCTCTATGTAAAGCCGCGCCTATTCAATAATAATATTACTTTTTCGCTTCAAAGTGCTGAGAAGATGTAGATACTCTATCTAAGCTTTCATATTGTCATTGCTTTATGTCAAGTTCCAGTTAATAAGTTATAGAAAGATTCACAAAAACAGTTTATTAATGCTTTAATACTATTGCCATTCAACAAAAAATCTTTAAATGAAAGAACTAAGTATATCGAAGACAGTAACAGTAATATGTTTTATTTATTTTACTCGAATATTCAAATTCATAACGAACAAAAACAAATAAACTTTGGAAATGCTAAATTGAGCAGAAACTTGAATTTCAAGCTCAAGCTGAGTTCAAGAAAATAAAAATATTATGAAATAGTAGAATTAATCATTCGTTAAAAAAGAAATTTATGTAACATCGAATCGATCTTATTACATTGAGCCCTCTCTAAATGAACTCTCCCTAAATGCAATTGTCGAACTTAGCTCGTTCGTAGCTTTAGTAGCATCAGAAGAGGAAAATAAAGTGACCGATTGGTTCTTTTCAAATCACGAGATTTAGTTACAAGAACTGTGATCGCATCTCAAAAATAATATTAAAAAAAGATACAGTATGAAATGCTCATTGCCAATTTTTTCTTGAAGCTTAATTCGTATCTTTTTTTTAAAACTTTGCGAAATTATTATTTTTCCTGATATCACTTTTCTCTAACAACATTCCTCAAAATGAACATACCATTTTAAATTAACATACTTTTTTACATATACTTTTAACCAATAATAATTATATAACCTTTTTATATTTCTATGAGAAAATAATAAACATTAAAGCTCTGAATGGGCAGAGTTGGGCCAAATTAATATTTAACTCAAATATAAAAAAGCACTTGAGTCAACTTGAAATTTAATATAAAATCACACCTTTGCAGACCGCTCTGAAAAATAATTAAATGATCATAGAAGCAAAACAATAGTAACAATATCCTTACTATAATGAATTGTATAACATAGTCAATAAGACTAAAAATTTAAATGAGATTCCATATTAAGGTTTTTAGATTCTTAAATATATGCATTTGTAGAAAATTAAAACAAAGCGCAAAAATGCTTAAAATTTTTTCATTACTATTGAGTTGAGTTGGGGTTTCTATTCGTAATACAAATCCTTATTATTTGTTTTGTTTGAATAAATTTTCAATGTAATTCGAATACTCAAATTCACAATGAATAAAACAAATAATTTGAATAAGCCCCATTCGAATAGAAATGCTAAGTTGAGCTAGCTCAAGTTAAAAATCGAATTTCAAGTTCAGGCTGAGTTCAAGAAAATAGGCTCTTAAATTGTTTTTTGGGTAATGGGCTGCGTAAATAAAATAAAAATATTATGAAATAATAAAAATAATCATTCATTTACCTAAAAAGAAATTCATATAACATCAAACTCGAGTTGATTCGAGTCGAATCAAGCCTATTGCAGTAAGATCTCCTAAATAAATTTGTATTTCTTGACTCAAACTTTCGGAGCTTTAGAAGTATCAGAAGATGAAGAAGATGAAGAATTAGTTTGTCAATTGAAAGAATCAAAAGTACTGCCCAGCTATTAATAGACAAAAAGGAAAAAGGGGAATAAAAGAAGTCTTTGAAGATAATTTGAGTGATCCTTCTTTTACCAAACATATGATTGGCTACTTTTTAGAATTAGACTAGTCTTATAAATCCAATTCCCAACACTGGTTGCTGTTATTGTTAATAAAAATTTCTTGTTTAGGTTTATTTCAAGTATACATGCAGCCCAAATTGGTTTGGTGATTTTGATGGTCAAAATTATTCCAATTTTGATGGTAGAAAGTAGAAATTAATTACGGCATTCACTATTAAAAACATAAGTGTAACACCCCTTTACTACATGTGTAACCCCCTTTATGACAGTGTCAAAATACTTTGGGCTGCATGTATAATTAAGAGTATTTTCTGCTTCCCCTGAATCTGCTGATTCTAATTTGCTACTAATAGCTTCCTCCTCTTCTTCATAACCAACACTACTCTATAAAATTATTATATTTTTTTTTAATTTATAATTCTCCCAAATGTTATCTATAATTAATGATAATGGAACTTACTTCAACATCTGCTTCACTCTCACTTGGTTTAAATTCGCTGAGTCTGTTTTTGCATCTGAATCATTATCACTTTCATATATACAGTGTGGAAGATTGTACCAAATTGCATGAAAATTTTTTTATTTGAAAGCTAAACACCAGCAGATTTTATTAATATTAATTAATAGGAGAGTCATTCTCCATTTTTTTCAATAATAAGTTCACAACATTGCTTCATCAATCCCACGATTGATTATAACAGTTTACAGGATAGCCCACCCTTCCTCTACCATAAACCTTTCCAATTCATTAAGATTTTTTGGCATCTGTTTCTCTACATTTCCCTTCACAATTGCCAAAGGTTTTCAATTGGATTCAAGTCAGGATTGTTTGATGGCCAATCCATGACTTCCAGAACATTCTCTTGAAGGAATTCTTTAGCAAGACGGCTTGTATGCTTCAGATCATTGTCTTGTTGGAGCCTCCAAACAATCATTCCCGGAATAAGTCAAGTTTCTTTTTCTTGCAAATCTGCTAATTCTTTTTTTTTACCTTGAACTGAATTTTTCAGTTCTTCTAATTCTACTTTGGCTTTGGCAATTTGTTTATTCGATTTCCCCAGTTCTTTTTTTAAATATTCGTTCATCACCAAGCATCTGGTTGATCTCTGGAACATGCTTTTGAGTATTTAACAAAAGATTTAGTGTCCATTATTTGTTGAAAGCAAAATAAGTTCGTTTTGCCTGTCAAACAAAATCCACCCCAAGCAAAAATTTTTGTACAGTCCTTTGGCATGGGACATATTGGCCATACACCCTTATACCAGCATTCTACAGTATTTTGGAAAAGTTGGAAGGCTGTCTCATCCAAAAATAAGGTCTGATTCCAATTGTCATTAAGATGTTTTTGTGCCCACTCAACTCGTTTTTGCTTATGAGCATTGGTAAGCATTAGTGTTGCCATTGGGAGAGCTTTTTTGTATCCATAAGCAGTTAAATGTCTTGATATAGTCATGTGGGATACTTCAACACTAATTTTGGACAATTTTTTGGTCGATGTAAGAATTACTTTTTTTTTAAAAATGAATTTAAAATACTCTTATGAACAAATACTTTTATTTTGTGTGCGGAGATAATTATTATTTTATTATTTCATAAAATGTTCATTATATACCGTAAAGTCTGGAAAGATAGCATCCCCTTTTTACATATGTGTAACATTTTTTTTATATTGACGCTCAATTGTTTTAAAGTAGGGGGCTATCTTTCCAGACTTTACGGTAATAAAATGAACATTTGTCTTTATCTTTTTTTTTTTATAAAATCATTATTATTATATACATACACACATTCAAAAAAAAATTATTTATTTTTTTTTTCTGATGATGATGTTGTACATGTGTTATGTGAACGTAGTAAATAAATAACTTAACATTAATATGGTATATAATAATAATTGGGCGACGACACAGATGCAATTGCTAGTTACGGTTAATTACACTTTAATATTAACTTTTTTTTTTTAAAAAAAATCCGATTAAAATGTTGTTGTTGTTGTATTGAATTTCACGCACGTGAATTTAAAATTTCTATTTTTGTTTTATTATATTCTATTGAGAATCCTCTTTAACACGGCACACTTGAAAGGTATTGATTGATTGTATATAAAATTTTAATCAATCTAATTTATGTTTGGGCAAAACATTGCATTACCAAAATTTTCCGTAAATTAAATCCCGATCTTGTTTAATAATGATAAATTTGCCAAAAATCTAGTTCGAATCACTTTCTTTTACATGCTTAAAAAGGGTTTTATTAATATTTTTCCTTTTTTTTTTTTTTTTTTTTTTGAAAATAATATTTTCTTTTCACTTTGAAACAAAAGGTCTAAAATATGGGTATATTTAAATCCGAATTACCTGATCTAATTATTCCAAATGTTAACCTTTATCATCATGTAATCAGCAATCCTAACTCAATTCCTGACACTAAACCAATCTACATTGATGGATTAACCAATAAAAGTATTACTTTTGGTGAATTTAAAAGTTTTACCAAAAAGTTTGCTAGTGGATTAAATCAATTGGATTTAAACCTGGAGAAGTTCTGGCAATTGTTTCTCCAAATCACATACATTATCCCATTGCATTATTAGGAACAATTGCATTTGGTAATTAATTAACCAATAACTTGCTTAACAATTATGCACAAAAAAAATTCTTTTGGCAAAATAATTAATTTGTTTTTGAATTTTTTTTCAGGTGGAACTGTTACAACAGCCAATCCTGATTATACAGTTGATGAATTAACATATCAATTAACCGATTCCAAAGCATCAAATCATTGTTACACATCTGTCAACCTTACTCACTGTTTTAAAAGCTGCAAACAATGTAAAAATACCAACTTCCAAGATCTTTGTATTTGATGAAAATGAAGATCTCGATCATGGCATTAGAACATTCATCAGTCTATTCAAGGATGATGATGATGATTCAGCAATTATTCATTATACAACTGATGAGGAAGTCAAATCAACTGTTGCTTATTTGTGTTATAGCTCTGGCACAACTGGCAGACAAAAAGGTGTTGAGACCACACATTATAATATGGTTGCTAACATTGAACAAGTTTATCATTTTGAGAAATTTACTCCTGATCTTGCATTCTTGGGAGTATTGGTGATACTAATACTAAATATTAATTATGATTGATGATTGTGATTTATGAATTATGATTGATGATTCAAATTTGATTACGATATTTTATTTTATTTTTTGCAGCCATTATACCATATGTTTGCATTGCATTTTATTATTCATCAAGCACTTTATAGTGTAAGTTTATAATGGATTTTTTTTTGAAAAATTTTTTTTTAAAAAGCTCTCATAAAATTCTTTTTATAATTACAATAGGGAGCATCAGCAATAATTTTATCAAAATTTGATATAGATTCATTTTGTCATGCAATACAAGATCATAAAATAAATATTATATATGTAGTTCCACCAATTGTGCTTAAACTGGTTAAAGATCCAGCTGTTGACAATTATGATTTAACAAGTTTGAAATTTTTATTCTGTGCTGCTGCTCCATTAAGTGAAGAGTTGAGTAATATGTTCATCAACAAATTTGGTACACCTCTTAAGCAAGGTTATGGACTTACTGAAACTACACCAATCATTACAATGGATAGGACTGATGATATCACAATTGGTAATTAAAAAGATATTTTTTTTTTATTGTTGAAGGAAGGACAGAAGGAAATAAATGAATAATATATTTTTTTTTTTTTTGAAAAAAAAAAAATTAGGATCATCTGGAATTCTTATAGCAAATATAGAAGCAAAAATTATTGATGAAAGTGGAAAAGGTAATTAACAATGAATCATTATTTATCACTAAACAATTAATTGATTATTATATATTTATATTTGATAGAACTTGGGATTAATGAACAAGGTGAACTATGTGTTCGTGGTCCAAACATTATGAAGGTACCAATCATATTTATATGAGTATTGTTAATCAGAGGAGACAATGAAATTGAGCAATATACTACTATTCAAGATGAATGGTCTATCATTGCTGCAACTTCTACATCAGGAAATTCTTCCCACCATAATATTGTGTTTGTAAGTTTTAATATGCAATCAATTTATTTTAATTGATCCTTCACATGTCTATGAAAAAAAAAATAGGGTTATCTTAATAATAAACAGGCCACTAAAGAATGTATTGGTAAAGATGGATTTTTCCGTACTGGAGATGTTGCTTTTATTAATGAAAATGGTAGATTATTGTAATATCATAAAATAAAATATTCTTTTTCATGTTTAATTAACATATTTATTATTATTATTATTGTAAAAGGGAAAATTTTTTTGGTTGATCATATAAAAGAACTTATCAAATATAAGGTTTGCCTTTTTTCTTTTTTTCTTTTTTTGATTAATCAATTCTTCCCATCACTATCACCTCAAAAAAAATTTTTTAGGGCTCTCAAGTTGCACCTGCAGAACTTGAATCAGTCCTACTTACAAATCCCATCATTTCCGATGCAGCTGTAGTTGGTATATATTCAGAACAAGATGCAACGGAATTACCAGTTGCCTACATTGTACTACAAAATCTTCCTCCTGAAGCTGCCAATGATCACCAACAAACCAAAAAACTAATTCAAGATCATGTAGCTGAAAAAGTTGCTCCTCATAAAAAATTACATGGTGGTGTCTACATTATTGATAAGATACCCTAAAAGTCCTTCTGGAAAAATTTTGAGAAAAGATTTGAGAGGACGACTTAAGAGTGAATGGGTTTGTCCTGATGATCTTCTTAAATATAAATAATTTATTTATTTATAATTTGTATTTCAAAAAATAATAATAAATTTGTCATGGGAATTTTATCCTTGCATTCTTCTCAAAGTTGCACACAGTATGAGAAATCCTATTATAAAATTTTAGTATTAGGCAACATAACTAAAATTTTTAGGTTCTCATCACTAAAAATTTTCAAATTGACCCAGTGTCCTGGGCCTTATAGGCCATCACTAAACTTTCAGGCAGTCCAGCAACTGTCCCTGGTCAAAAATGTAAAATTTACATTTAAGATTACTTAAAATTGATGCAAGTGTCCAATCTAAGATTACTTGCTTGAAGCCTCTTAATGACTGCTGAAACTCTACTAAACAATTAGTATGTAACCTGCTGAAACTTTGCTAATTGCCAAAACCCCCAAATGTGAAGCTCTAATAAACAATTATTGTGTAACATGTCAAAACTGCCAATGGAGTTCTGGCAAGCAACCATAGTCCAATCAATGTCATATTAATTGATTTGTTAGCAATTTGGTTTTTCAGGCCTTTTTTCAAACCTTATGTCTTATTGTGTCTTGATGTTAAACATGAGTATTTTTAATGTGTAAACTGGTCAGTAGAATGATAATTAACCCTAAAAAAAGTTTATTTGCTCTGCTAAAAAAACTATTTTACTATTCAACAGCCCATTAAACTAATGAATAGGTTTTTGCTAGTATAAAGTATTCATAACATTATGATCATACCATACCAAATTTTGGGGATCAAACAAAATCAATGCATATGGGTATCATCTTTCTAAAAACCATTTGGACATTGATGTTGATTTAGATATTGATTTTTTTTTTCATCTTTATTTATTATAAAAACTATTAATTCGGATCATATAAATAAGCTTATTATTATACTTTTGTATCACCTATATTTTCGTGTGAAAAAATTCATTTTTCCAATTCCTTTAAAAAAATAGAACTTTATATACCTGTTTGTATAAACTTTACAAAATGGCTTGTAGTCAAGGTGCTCCTATGACTTGTACTATATCAAAAAAAAGAATTAAAGCAGGAAGAAACTAAATGTTCAATACCCAAATTGTCACATGTTAGTTCTGGTAGAAGTAAGTAAACAGAGTTGTTCATATAAACAATAATGCTATTTTAATACTTTTAGTAAGATTGCATTTCTTTAGTAGAAAAAAAGTTAATCAAAACCAAAAAGTCACCAAGAATCCTAAATCAGAAGACCTAGTTTTGGTTAAAAAATTATTTTCTTCCTGCCAAATTTAGATATGATTGTCGAGATCAGTCTAAATTTAGCAATGATCCTAGCGCTCAAATTCTTCCGAGTACATGTTTTAAAAAAGAATAGAACTCTACAACAAATAATTTTTTTTTGAGAAAATCTCTCTATTACATTAAATTTAAAGACATATTATATCAACTAATAGAGCTATTTTTAAAAGGTGGGACAGAAAATGACTTCTATCTTTTTAAAATTCGCACAAAATTTAGGTCTTTTAGACCGAGCTAACTATATATACCATAATAATAAATATCCGACCATCCTACGTCGTGTAACGTCAAATGAAAAAAACTTACCAAAAAATGCAACATTTTCTTAAATAAAACCTTTTTACTTTACTAAGTAAACTTGTACTTGATATCGAAATCTCTAAATTACAAAACTGTGGCGTGCCAGGCATGACAAAAGTCTATTAATACACTATTTGACATTTAAAATTAGGGTGGTATTATTTTAAATGATTTAAAATTTATTTAAAATGAAAAATTTTTGAAAAAAATTTTACTTAAAATTCTGTTACATGCAAACCAGTGTCTAACATCCGGAAAATATAAAAAAATTTTACACGTGCCAATTGTAAGTTTAATAATAAAAAAGTGTAAAACTTACGTCGGCACTGTAAGATTTACACAATATTACGTCGGCATCATAAGATTTATGCAAGTTTACGCTAAATTAATTTCCTGATGACCTTTATCATTGGCCAATATTATTAACAACTCTTCAAAATATAAAAGTATAACACAAAACATTATTTCTGTTTTCTTAAATAATATTTTTCTAGATATAGAGCAATTTATATGGTCACCTCATTGTGACCAATTTATTTTAGAAGAAGAACATGCTGGTATAAATAAAAAAGAAAAAAGAAAAAAGAAACCAAACAATAGTTCCTCTAATCCTAGTATTAATAATAGAAATAATAATCAACATAGTTTAGCTTCTGGTCAAGAGGGAGTTCGTAAATCTATAATATTAGGGGAGGAATGGTTACAATATTATTCAGGTTCTTTAATAGATTAGTTGTGTGTTGGTTATCTTCAGAACGGATGCAGGTGGCCTAGCCTTAAAACATTCAGTTGGCCTGTTCAAATCCTGATAGCCAATGCAAGGCTTGGATCTTCCATCAATTTACTTTGTATCATGGGTGGCGGGTCATTATTTCTTTTTTGGTAACATTATATGTAACATGTATTAATTATATTTTACTAAGTTTAATAAATTTGAAGTGCAGTCTTAGTTTAAAAAAAAAAAAAAAAAAAAAAAAAAAAAACGCTTGTGTAGCATTTTTTAAGAAATGAAAAAATGATGTGTACCATTTAAGGTTTCTGGCCAAAACTGCTTCTATTAGTAGCCAAAATTGCCCAAATACTTTGGGCAAAAATTATTTTTTTATAAGCCCAAACTACTTT